TGGATTGAGCCAAAGGTGATGCTATACTTTATTAATATGTTCAATTATTAAGGTTTCTTACTAATTTTTTATGATTTGTTCTTATACAGAGTCATAGACAACTGGTGAGGATGAACTTGTGCAGTCTATATGTCATGAGACACATGCTCAATATTATCACATTAGGCATGATCGAATTTACAAAAGAGGTAAATATATTTTTAAAATTTTTATTTTATTATATTATTTGAGATTGATTAATATGCCTATTTTATGAATCAAATTTTAGATGTTCGACAATTCGGATGCATTTCCTGAAGCTGAAATTGAAGACATTCGCATACATTGGGCAACCTATTTTGTGGAGAACTTGTAAGGTTTTTTGTTACTTTTAGACATGTTTTAATTTTGATAGTTGACACAATTTAGACAATTATTAGTTTTTCTAGTAGTTAAATAGTTTTATATAGTTGATAAATACTTGATAAACAATTGTAAATGAATTGAGCTGTCTGATTTGGCAATTTTTATGCACAGGAATGGCAATTTTGACAATTTAGACAATTTTTAGTTTATTTAATAGTTAAATAGTTTTGTATAGTTGATAAATACTTCATAAAAAATTGTAAATGAAGTAAGTTGTCTGATTTGGCAATTTTTATGCACAAGAACAGGTAAAATCGATAAAATAAATATAGCATAAAAAATTAAATACTTTTTACACCGATTATTACCATAATCGCTATAAAATATAATATTTTTTACATCGGTTATGATAATAACTGGTGCTAAAAGTCCACTTTTAACATTGGTTGAAAGTCCAACCGGTGTTACCCCGTGTTAAAAGTAGAAACCGGTTAGACTTCCAACTGATGTTAAAAGTTAAAGTAAATTTTTTTTATTTTTTGTATATAATTTTCAACATTAGCTTTATAACTAATGTAAAAATTTTATTTTTTATATCAGGTTTATAACTGATGTAAAAAGAAGGACTTTCTATACCCCCTGGAACAACATCGCCTCTTTAATCACTGTAAAAAGTCATTTTTAATCGTTGTAAAAAGTCATTTTTGTACTAGTGTCATACACAAGCCATACAATTCACACATATTCACACACACATATATCTATAATCACATCCTATTGGCACCCTAATCCTAAATGCATTACAATAGATTTGCTTAAAAGAAAAGGGTTGCAGTTCTTTACAATCCACAAACAACCCCTAACTCTGCTTCTTTCCCCGTCCACTACTGGTTCCTTTGCCTGGACCTGAAAATATTGAAAAGAATGGGGTGAGATAACTACAGTCTTAATAATATAGAAATCCACATTGATTATTACAAAGTAAGTCATAATCAAATAGATGAATATTTAATTCAACGTAATATATAACTTAGCCATTTAAAATGCATGAATGCATGACATAGGCTGGTATAGCCTTTCATGACCAACAGAATGCCCCCTGGTACTTTTTAACTCACAGGTAAACCTTATACCCACTTATACCTCCACAGGCATAAAATATAATCTAAGGCATGATCTAATTCACTAAACCGCCTATGCCCCTTTGACGTGAATCTTGAGCAATCGAAGCTAACTCCCTCCCAAAGCTAGCCCGACTTACTCTCCATGTGAGGGCTACCTTGGCCTAGACACTCAACCTCATACTTTATATGTAGAATTCCCTCCCCCACTGAGAGGTTTCAAACACTCAATACACCAACCACTTTAGTGCACTAAGCCCACAATACGTAAGGCAACACTGAGTACTGGCAGTGTGCCATAGAATATCACAAGTCTACACCTTCTCATTGGTGAACTCTCATCAAGATCATGCCTTTTACTCTTGTCTACCTTTCCTGAGTATTGACCATTTTAACACTCTAAGGTAGTACAACATTTATAAATCTCCCTAAAATAGTTCCTCAGCCTATCTAAGGTACCTAATTTAGTTACACTTCCTTAAGTGAAACTTCTATCCTTTATGATTACAATACATGAAAATAATCTCGTTTCGATAAAAATATTGTTGTTAAACAAATAGAAAACATATTTGCACTATAATTAAAGTAGTACCCTATAACCCCTTATAAAGCGCATTTAATCTTTTAAAACATGTAATGCATGATAGCTAGTAATATTTATTCAAAAATAGCTAAACAAAGTAATAAGAAATATAAATTCTCCTGTTACCTCAACCCTTTGGTACCTAAATGGTTCCTCTTGTATAAAATAGGACTTGACTTGTTTCTTAACTTTTCAATAAGTTCCACCAACAATTCCCTACAACATAAGTGATCCATATCACTCTTCAGGGCAAATAGTATTAATGAAGACTATAATGTTGGATAGGGAGGCGCAGTGAAAGATTAAAATTTTAAAGTCCCTATCCTGATATAGACCGAACAAACTCATTTAAGTCAAGGTGGATAGAAGAGGTGCCTTTTTAATTCTTTGAAGTTGGTGCACATTTGGATCTCAGGAGATGACAATGTAGATTTGCTCCCTCTACCAATATCCACACGAACAGCTCTCTAACTCAAACAGCGTGCTAGCACTCTCAGCGTCCATTCTTCTTTGAACATTAATTTTCCTTTCTATAGGATGTTTCGTGGCTCTCAGAGTGTTTTTGCCGTTAGAACTTTTCTAACTCTCTCTCTGCCTTCATAAGGACGTCCTTATCTATATATAGTATATAGATAAGGGTTTTCATCTTTCACTTAAAAACTCACAAAAATTTAATTAAATTTATCTCATAAATTTATTCACAAGGTACATTTGGCCAAGATAATATGGCCCAAGTTTCTCAAGTTGCCATGCCTTTTCCACCATAAGGTTTCCCACATGTAAGCAATGTAAGTATGTCCAATGCTCTTATGCCTTACTCTTGTACTATATGTGACTCACCCATACATGTAGATGTTAATTGTCTACATCAAGTTGAGCAAGTGAATGCTATGTATGGGAGGTAACAATTCGGTCAAGGGAGAGGAGGTCAAGGAGTATGGATGTACTCCAACACCTATAATCCTTTATGGAAGAACCACCCTAATCTTTCCTATGCTAACAAGGATGTTTCATTACAAGAGGAAATTCTAAGGTGAAGGTATCAAGGAGGAAAAGCTCTAGTTTTGGTCAAAGGAGTAATGCACTTGTACCTACTTCTTTTCCTAGTAAGCAAATTATTCCAATTGAATCAAATGCTTCTACTTCTTCTAATAAGTTTAACTTGTTGAGCAAGCAAATGTTTGAGATGAATAAGTTTACAAAGGTGTGTTTGATGAGCATGGAAATAGGTTAAGCAATTTGGAGGCCTCTCTTAATTCTAAATTTGATGTACTTGCTTCACAAATAAGTTCCATAACCAATCATTTGAGTGCATCACAAGCACAAGCACTCACTCTTCCTAGCAATATAGTGGTCAACCCTAAGGTCAATGTGAGTACCATCACTTTGAGAAGTAGCAAGGAAGTAGGAGAATCATCTAACCAAGGCCAAGAAGAGGAGGAGGCTGAACCTATGCTTCAAGAGGTTGAGTCTTATGGTAAAACTTCTAACCTTACTTCTTTTGTTACTAATGGTGTGCCCTCTTGTTGTGAGGATAATGAGACCATTGAAGAGATTGTTTGTGAGCCACCTCTAACTAAGGAAGAGAAGCATCCCTATTCAGCCAAAGTGGATAAACCAAGCAATGAGCTTGTGTTAAATATGGAGAAAGCTTTAAAGAAGCAGATGGAGGACAAGGAAAAAAAAAAGGAGAGATCGAGCCTCGAGTTGAAGAAGAGATTGCCTTTCCCTCAAGCAATGAGAATGCCAAGGAAAGATAAGGGACAAGACAGTAAGGTATGTGAGCTCTTTAATAAAAATCATGTGAAAGTATCTTTGCTTGATTTGGTGAAAAATATCCCTAAATATGCTAAGTTTTTAAAAGATTGTTGTACTAATAAAAGGAAATTTACTCCAAATGCTATGGTGCAACTTTTTTCTTCCATTTATGCCATAATGAAACCCCAATTGCCAATTAAATGTGAAGAACTAGGGTCATTTATAATTCCTTGCAAAATTGGTGAATTGCAATTTTTACATGCTTTGATTGACTTGGGTGTTGCTAGTAATATGACACCTTTATCCATTTATAAAGCCCTTAGTTTGAATTGCATGTGCTCTACAAAAATGATTTGCCAATTAGCTGATAGGACATTAAGGCACCCACATGGAAAAGTTGAGGATGTTTTGGTTGGTATTAGAAATATGCCTTTCCCTACTGATTTCTATATGCTTGACATGTCTAAAGAGAGTAGTGGGGAGGATTAGAGTCGGGAAATGGGCGGGCCTGGCCTATATGGGCTCGGCCCTTATGGGCCCGGCCCATAAGGGCCTAGGCCCATAAGCCCGGTTTCCCATTTTTGAGCCATTTCTTGAGGCCCGGCCCTTATTTAAAGGGCTCAGGGCCAAGCCCATAAGCCCTACTTCAAAAAAATTAAAAAAATTTAAAATTAAACATAATAAATTACTTAAAAACATTTTAAAATTCAAAATAAAATAAATCAAGATACACATAATATTCAAGAACTTAAACACCACATATTTAAAAGACTAAATAAATTCAAACACCCGTCAATCTAAATCTAAATCTGCATCCTCATCATCGTCTATAAACAAAATATTAGAACCCTCGGAAGTTGGTCCACTTGATGAAGGTGGAAGAGGTTCAATGGCAATATACTCTTCAATCAATTCTTCTTCACCTACAATAAATATTAACCAAACTATATCATTATCGAATATATATATATATATATATTTATTACAAGACAAAATATACAATTACCATATAATGGGGGCACAAAACCATGTAACCAATTGCGGGTACAAATCAAAGCTTGCACATTGTCTGGAAGGAGGCTAAAACGATACTTTGTCAAAACACGAGAGCCTATGCTAAAAGCCGATTCACTAGCTACTGTAGTGATCGGAATACTTAAAATATCACATGCCATCCTTGAAAGGTTGGGAAATCATTGCTGATTGGTCTTCCACCATTGTAACACATCCAACTCTGGAAACTGGTGACCATCAAGGGAAGCTTCTTCCAAATAATAGTCTAATTCAGATTTACCAACGGAAGAAACATCCCTACTCTTGAAGTTAAGAAAATCCTATATTTACAAAATAAAACAAAACATATCAAACAAAGAATTATAAACCAATAAAAATAAGATAATGTGTATTAAACAAATAAGAACTTACACCATAAAGCTGAGTCCAAGACATGGCCGACTCCTTCTTCTTCTCTACCATCCTTCCACTTGTGCTTGAGCTTGGTTGACTTGGTGTTGGAGTTGAACTTGATGTACGATTATTGGAAGATCCACCCATATCTTTGTATTGATCAAATATATAATACAACTTTTGCTTGATGTGATCAACTTTCATGTAGTAATTCACAGGATCAATCAATGAGTAAGAAAACTTGATTGCTTCAAGCTTTGCTCGTGGATCAAAAACGCTTCCAATTGATAAGATCACACTATAGTCACTCCAATACTTGTCAAATTTCTCTTTCATTTTAGTTGCCATATTAGAAATCACAGGATCACGATTGCTAATGGCATCATTCAACAAAATCTCAATTTTTGCTATTTGTCCAAAATACATGTTTGAGGTTGGATAAGATGTGCCAGAAATCAAAGTTGTAATCATTGCACATGGTTGCAAGAAAGAACACATTTCCTCTGCTCTCCTCCACTCTTCATTTGATAAGGAATGCTTAAAACTAGTATCACGACAAGACAAACAAACAAAGGCTCTTTTATATCTAATTCCACTTTCAAGCATATCATAAGTGGAATTCCATCTAGTAGGCACATCTAATCGCAATCCTATCGACGTGTCAATACTACCAACTTGCTCAACACATTGCCCAAAAATCTTCATCCTGGACTCAGACACCTTAACATACTTAATGCTGTCTCGAATTTTATTTATTGCAACATTTGTCACCTTTAAACCTTCTTGAACTATCAAGTTCAAGATATGTGCACAACACCTCACATAAAAGAATTCCCCATCACAAATCAAGTTATTTTGCAAAATCAACCTCTCTTTCAAGATCTCAGCCATACAATCATTTGCAGATGCATTGTCTAAAGTAACAGTAAAAATCTTCTTTTCAATCTCCCAATCACATAAGCTCTCAAAAACTTTGCTAGCTAATTCATGTCCAGAATGTGGAGGCTCCATTTTACAAAAAGAAAGTATTTTACTGTTAAGCTTCCAATTTTCATCCACAAAATGTGCTGTCAAGCATATATAACCTTCAGATGTTACAGCAGTCCAACAATCTGAGGTCAAACATATTCTACTAGGACTCTTTGACAAAATCACCTTCAACTTGTCTTTTTGTAGCTCATAAAACCTCCTAATATCTGACACAGCAGTTTTTCTACTTATAATCTTAACATCGGGATTACATTCCTTAAGAACTTGCCTAAAAAGAGGAAATTCAACAAAGGAATATGGCAAATCATGTTCAATAATCAACATCCCCAACAACTCCCGTATACGCAGATTATTGATTTGTCTAGATCTAACATTGCCTTCATTATCCAACATCATCAAGCCAATATTATGAAACTTTGGAAGAGCTACACATTATTTAATATGACGACTTAGATGTGAAGTGCCATGATTTCCACCACATGCTAATAAAGTGCCACAACCATTACACTTTGCCTTAGTTGCCCCCTCTTCATTAACCACCTTAGAAAAAGACTTCCAAACATCCGAGGTACAACTTTTAGCTTTCTTAGGTGGTTTTTGACTAAATGTAGTAAAATTGGAGGGAGTTAATTCTCTTTTACCATCCCTATCCACTGACTTATCATTAGTTTTGGCACTAGATGATGACATACTGCAGACAACACATGAATAACAGAATTAAAATAAAAAACAAAATAACATAGCAGCAAGTCAGCAACCCAGCAAGGCAGCAACCACAGCAATATTAACATCAAATTCAAGCAACACATCAAATTGCAGACACATGAATAATAACGTAGCAACACAGCTTTTCAGATGTAAATTCAAGGCTGAAGCAACTTAGGGGTGTCACCTACTTTTCATATATAAAGCAAAATCAGAGAGAGACAGATAACTAGACGTACCTAAAGGCTGATGAAGAGTCTTGAATCCTAAGTTGCTAGAGTCAGAGTGTGATTGAGTGAGAGCAAAGCTTAGGACGAGCCACTGAAGCTGAATCTGAAGCTTAGAAGAGCAAGAAGATGAGCCACCGAAGCTGAATCTGAAGCTTAAGAGAGCAAAAGGACAACTGGACGAGCCACCGAAGCTGACTTGAAGTTTACGAGAGCAAAGAAGAGGATGATTGGTGAGCAGTGACTGGACGATGATGAGCGATCTCGCCTCGGCAACCTAAATCTGAAGGTTAGGAGTTATGAGAGCAACGAACAGGACGATTGGGGAGCAGCGACTGGACGAGGACGAGGATAAGCGATCTCGGTGAGACGGCGACTTGAATCTGAAGCTTAGGGTTTTGCAGTGTGAGGACTGACGGCTGACTGCTGATGCTGAGGCACAACTTGTTTCGGTCGTGTGAACAAAGTGACCGCGTGAGTGTTTTGCTGGCTTGCGTGTTGGCGGTGTTGCGTCTTCAGGACTCAGGAGTTGAAGACTTGAAGTCAATCTCATGAGTCATGACACCGTTTTGATCTGGGACCGGATTGGGAGAAGAGGAGAAAAAAAAAAAAGAAACCGGGCCTAGAGGGCCGCCCGAGCCCGAGCCCATTTTTTCAGGGCTTAAAAGGGCCGGGCTCAGAAGCCCGATTTCCTAAAAAATAGCTAATTTTTCAAGCCTGAACCCTTACAAAAATGGGCTTAAACGGGTGGCCCTTCAAGCCCGGCCCTTATTCCCGGCTCTAGGGAGGATATTTTGATACTTAGTAGACCTTTAATGAGGACTACCCAAACTTTGATTGATATGGAATAAGGTAAACTTACCTTGAGATATGGTGAGGATTCTATTACTTTTAATATTTATAAGGCTATAAAGCATCCCTATGAGGATTACTCCCTCTTGGGTGTGAGTACTATTGAAATTGTTATTGAAGATGCTTTAAATTTTGTTTCAAAAAATGCTTTGCCTCTTAACTCTTATCCTCTTTCATCTATTTTATTGCCTTGTTCTTGCATTGATGGGTATACTTGTTCCTCTTGTGAGAAGTTTAATTGTTTCTCTTTTGGTGACATTGATATGGGTGTTGTTCTTGACTCACTTGGTCTTGAGAGAGGTATTGTTTCTTGTTCTTATATAGGTGAAAGGCCTATAGCTAAATTACATGGTCAACCTCCACTTGAACTTGATGCAGCTTTCCTTTCCAAGTTATTGGACGTTGATTATGCACACTTGAAGGACAAGGCCATAGCTACTTTAACCTTGCTTGAGGATGAAGATAAAGAAGGAGAGGCCAAGTTAGAGAATCTTACAAATGAAGCAAACTCAATTGTACCCTACAAAAAGGGTAAGGTGGCCGAGATACATAAAGGCTTAGAACTGACTAAGTTGGTGCCATCAAGCATTAAACCTCCCACATTGGAGCTTAAGCCATTGCCAAGCAATTTAAAATATGCTTTTCTTCTTGAGGGTGAGAAACTTCCTGTTATCATTTCTAACTCTCTTGTTGAAAAAGAAGAGCATGATTTAATTGATGTGCTTAGATGTAATATGCTTGCTATTGGTTAGTCATTGGCTAATATTCCTAGAATTGATCTACATGTTTGCACATATAAAATTTTCTTGGAAGATAATGGTAAACCTATTAGGCAACCCAAAAGGAGGCTTAACCCTTTGATTTTAGATGTTGTGAAAAAAAGAGGTTGTCAAACTATTGAGCGCTAGTATTATTTACCTTATAGCTGATAGTGAGTGGGTTTCACCACTCAAGTGGTTCCTAAGAAAGGAGGGATCATTGTTATAACAAATAAGAAGGGTGAGATAGTTCCTATTAGGGTTCAAAACTGATAGAGAATGTGTATAAATTATAGGAATTTGAATGATGTGACTAGGAATGATCATTTTCCACTTCATTTCATTAACCAAATGCTTAAGAGACTTGCTTGTAAGACACAATACTATTTCCTTGATGAGTTAATGGGTACTTTCAAATGCCTATTTCCCTACATGACCAAGAAAAGACCACAGTCACTTGTCCCTTTAGCATATTTGCTTATAGGATAATGCCATTTGGTTTGTGTAATGCTCCAGGTACTTTTTAAAGATGCATGATGTCTATTTTTTATAATTTCATTAAGGATTGTATGGAAGTATTTATAGATGATTTCACTGTTTGTGGTGACTCTTTTAATGCTTGTTTGTCTTCTTTGGACAAAGTTTTGAAAAGATGTATTGAAAAGAAACTTGTGTTGAATTTTGAAAAATGCCATTTCATGGTTGATAAGGGTGTTGTTTTGGGTCACTTGATTTCATCTAAAGGAATTGAGGTTGATAAAGCTAAGGTAGAAGTCATTACATCTTTGCCTTACCCTACTTGTGTTAAAGATGTCAGATCTTTCTTAGGTCATGCTGGTTTTTATAGGAGGTTCATTAAGGACTTTAGCAAAATTACTCTGCCTATGTCTAAGTTGTTACAAAAAGATGTGCCTTTTGTGTTTGATGAGAAATGCAAAAATAGCTTTGAAACTCTTAAGAGCATGCTTGTTTCCCCTCTTATCCTAAGGGTACCTAATTGGGATTTGCCTTTTGAATTGTCTTGTGATGCATATAATTTTGTTGTAAGAGCTATGTTAGGCTAGAAATGTGATAAATTGTCTCATGTTATTACCTATGCTTCTAAAACTTTAGATGCTACATAAATTTACTACACTACTATTGAGAAGGAATTGTTTGCAATTGTGTTTATATTGGATAAGTTTATATCCTACTTGCTGAATTCAAAGGTTATTGTTTTCACTGACTATATTGCTATTAAGTACTTGCTTAAAAAGATAGATTCAAAGCCAAGATTGATAAGATGGGTCATTCTCATACAAGAGTTTGATCTTGAAATTAATGACTGAAGTGGATCCACCAATCAAGTGGCTAATCATCTCTCTAGACTTCTTAACTTGGAAGAAAGCATGGTAAACTCTAACCTTAACCCTTGTGATACATTCCCTAATGAGATCCTTGGTGTTATAACCACTCACATGCCATGGTATGCACATGTTGCTAATTTCATTAAGTATGGTACTTTTCTACCTTGCTTATCTCGATTTCAAAAAGAGAAAAGCAAGAGGGAATCAAGATATTACATTTGGGATCCTCCATTCTTGTGGCGCATTTGCTATGATAGTGTGATTAGAAGATGTATTGATGAATATGAAGCAAAATCCATACTTGTATTTTATCATGAGCATGTGTGTGGGGGTCATTTCAGTACTAACAAGACATCTAAGAAGGTCTTAGATTGTGGTTTTTGTTGGCCTACTTTGCTTCAAGACTTTTATGCTTTCTGTAAGTCTTGCTTGAAATGTCAATAACATGCTAGTTGAGAGAAGAGACATGAGATACCACAAAATCCCATATTGTTTTGTAAAGTCTTTGATGTGTTGGGCATTGATTTTATGGGACCATTCCCTAACTCTTTTGGCTTTGAATACATCTTTCTTTGTGTGGATTATGTTTATAAATGGATTAAAGCTATTGTCACTAGAACATGTGATTCAATGCTTGTCATAAAGTTTTTAAAGTCTCATATCTTTTGTAGGTTTGGAGTGCCTAAGGCATTGATAAGCTATTAAGGTTCCCATTTTTGTAATAAGTGGATGGATTCATTGTTAAAGAAGTATGGAGTTCACCATAAGGTTGCTACACCTTACCACCCACAAACAAATGGGCAAGCTAAAGGTCTCTAGTAGAGAAATCAAAAATATTTTGGCCAAGGTTGTTCACACAAATAGAAAAATTAGTCTCTCCACCTTGATGATACTCTTTGGGCTTAAAGAACAGCCTTCAAGACCCCTATAGGGATGTCTCCCTTTAGATTGTTCTATAGAAAAGCATGCCACCTTTTAGTTGAGATAGAGCACAAAGCCTATTGGGCCATAAAGAAATTGAACTTGGAGGGTTCAGCCATAGAGAGGAACCTTCAACTCCAAGAGCTTGAAGAGTTTCGATTGGAGGCTTATGAATCATCATGGATTTACAAAGGGAGAGCTAAGGTTCTACATGACAAGATGGTGTTGAGGAAGGAGTTCCATGCTAGTGATTATGTCCTCTTATATAATACCCGTTACATCCATAAGATTGCAAAGCTCAAGTCAAAGTGGGATGGTCCTTACTTGGTGACCAAAGTGCTTTCATTTGGGTTTTCTCCAACTTTTGAATGAAGCTACAAGTTTTACGCTCCATGTAACCTCTCTGAGGTTAAACCATAATTAACTCTAAATCAATGTAATCTAAGATTTTAAAAGAAGAATTTCTCAAAATTATTTCATAGGAATCCTAATTTGCTAATTCAAATTCCAAACATAATTTAAGGACTCCAAATCAAAGTTTTGAAAATAAAGTGGAAGCTTGGAAATCAATTGGGACCTAAATAATG